TTTTGTTACTGTCATAATAATGACTTTATTCAGCTCGAGTTTTGACCAAAGGTAAATGAAGATGGCACTGATACGTTCTGGAAAGTGAATCCTCCTTGTGCTTCAATACGCTTCGACTCTGAAAAACATTAAAAACAAAGGCATTACGGAGGCGTAAGTACCTTTTAAGGTGGTGTTACACGGGACAACTTGCAACGCCGATTTTTCGTGCAACGCTATTGCGCCATTTGTGTGTCGATTTTTTGCGACATGTTACACGGGAACAACTTTTCGCGCAACATTCACTTTAGTATTCAGTCCACGCGCTGCCAACTCACTCACGGCTATCTTTCTTCTCCTTTTCTTGCTTTTATCATTTTTTATCAACTACAAAAAGTTTTATCTTATCCGTTTCATTAGGTTTAGACAATTGCTGCAGTTGCTGAACTGTTTACACTTACTTCTTCTACAGTCGGCGCCATTTTGTTGCGCGTCAAATCGGCGATGTACATGTTACACACATGGATTTGCTGAAAATTCGTCATCTTGCGTTGCAAGTTTTTGAAGCCAGATCAAAAACTTGCAACGTGTTGGAGAGTAAAATATTGCGCGAAAAATCGTCCTTGGCGCTATGTTACACCTCAACGATTTTTCGTGCAGCAGCGTTGCGCGAAAAATCGACGTTGCAAGTTGGCCCGGGTAACACTACTTTTATGCAGCCGACCTCCGCAGCCAGTTGTCAAGTCTCTTAAAGTCTTAGAGTGCATACCATACATCCGTGAAAAAGTTAACTAAGAAAAATGTACTAATTAGTGCAAAGTTTATCAAATTTGTACACAAATTTGTGCGATTTCTTACAAAGTTGTTCACGGATATATGGTATGCACTCTACTTAAAAGGATTTTTTTCATTAATTTAAGCCAACTTCTAATAGTCTATTAAGCAGCAAGTTGCAAAAGTATCAAATACATGTATTTTTTGTATCTAATTTTATAGGCCCTGACAAACGGTCCCAGCATTTGACTCAGCATTTGACCCAGCATTTTAACCCAAAATTGTTGGAAAACCATGATAAAACAGTCACAACATTTGACCCAAAATATGTTAGATAAATGTTAGGTCGAATGTTAGAACTGCTTCTAAGGGCCTTATGAAGCAGCCAGCTTTTAACGTTCCAAAGAAAGAACCCCCCCCCCCCCCAAACTAATACTCAATTTAGCAACCAACCTCTATTCAAGATCTACTTAACACATTCCCAAGGGTGGCCACTTAACAGAGGTTCGGCCACTTTGTAACATGCATTATATCTTACTCTCAAGTCTATCTTACATTCATGTGTATGTAAGAAAAAGAAAGAGATTTTATTTTACCTGCTGCTGCAGTTCTTTGGTCAGCGATCATAAACACTTGCTGAAGTTCGTTATTTTGTTCYTTGGTCAGCGCATTCATCATGGCAGCATACCATTGTGGGTCACGTGACTGAAGCGCTTCAATGAGATGGAGAAAATCATTGACATGATATAAAATTATTTTC